ACATCCGCAGAGCAAACGTAGAAGATCCTAACAAACCGTGGACTCAACAAGTTCAACAACACATCCAGACTCTTGGAGGTTTTCATCTTTTCTGCTAAAATAAAAAATTCTATTGTCAAAGTCTTATAAGACTTTTTAAGGTTTTGATTTAGGAACATGAAATTTAAGATCTTTTTAAGACTTTTAAGACCCCGCGGCTGCTCTGATCACCTGTGGTCCGAGTTTTCTCCAAGACCAGAATCATCACTGAACTGAACTCCAGGGAACAGAACCACACTGACTCAGATCGTGACAGACGGACGTGGACGTGTGGACGCCGGAATCACAACTGTTTCAACTATTATGACTTATTGTGAATATGAGAACAATTTAACTTCTCAGACAGGATTTTTTTACATGTTACAATTGAACAAAGTTGAGTTTTTGTGAACGTGTTAAATAAAGTTTGACTGACTTATCCAACTGTTGTGTTTTAAACCATTCAATGACAGTTGCCTTAGAATCCAGAGTGAACTATAGTGCAGAAAATACAGTAAATTGTGTCCAAGTGTGTGTGTAAATGTGTGTCGTATTCCACAAAGGAGAAACATTCTTCATGAATAATTTATCCACAACGATCAAGAGAAGAAAGAACAAAACTTAAAGGAAACAACGACACACATTAGTCACACACGGGGTCAACTCCTTGTTTCTTTATTTCTGAGATTTTTATCCTCGAAATTAAACTCTGAATCGTCCCTTTAAATGTGCTATAAAAATAAAAATAACTTGATTCAGAGTTTGACCAGGAGCATCACGTCTGTGGTCTCCTGCTGCTGGAGAACACGTCTGTCTGGTGTTTGGTGAAATCGACCGAAACTGAACAGGGAGAAATTCTGATGGAAACTGATGATAAAAAAATGTGGGAACATAGAAACCTGTGAATGTTTATGATCAGAAACACACGAGACAAACTAAATCCTGTCAAAACTGATGAAGATGAAGTGGAACTGCCCAAAAATCATCCACAAAATATGTCAGATGTGTCAGTATTATTTCTCTTTGTGTTTTTCAGGAAACATTCAGATCATTTTTCTCTTTGGAGCAAATACACACAAACAAACACACACACAAACACACACACAAAATTAAAGATTTAAACTAAAGACTCAGAACTCACATCTCTGAGGACCAGGCTCGTCTCCGTCCTGCTCCACCGTGTCGTAGTCCTCTTTGACCCGGGACCGAGCTCCTTCCTCTGCACAAAAACAAACACTAATGTTCAGAACAAACTCCACATGAACTCACAGCACCACCTGCTGTCCACAGACGATAGAGGCACTTACATTTAAAAGACTATGAGTCTAAATACAATAAGAGCATTTTGAATGATTCTTTTACATTTAGGATGTTCTTGATCTGAACCAGTCCCAGTCTCTGTCTCACTCGTGTGGGTTTCAGTCTTGTTCTACAGTTCCAGTGCGGAGAACAGTTCCAGTGCGGAGAACAGTTCCAGTGCGGAGAACAGTTCCAGTGCGGAGAACAGTTCCAGTGCGGAGAACAGTTCCAGTGCGGAGAACAGTTCCAGTGCGGAGAACAGTTCCAGTGTGGATCATAAACTAATCCAAAAAATAAAATAAAATAAAAATCTCACCTGAGCCAAAGCCTCGTCCCTTCCTCTTCTTGGCTTTCTCCTTCAGCTTGTGGATACTTTCTGTGGAGACAGGACCAGGAGTGTCAGGACCACACCAGAGAGAGAGTGTGTAATGTGTGTGTGTGTGTAATGTGTGTGTGTGTGTGTAATGTGTGTAATGTGTGTGTGTGTGTGTGTGTGTAATGTGTGTAAGTGTGTGTGTGTGTGTGTAATGTGTGTGTGTGTGTGTGTGTGTGTGTAATGTGTGTGTAATGTGTGTGTGATGCTCTTCTGTTCTGTTTGTTTAAATACAAGTGTAATTGAACAGAAGGACTCCAGCAGAGCTCAGTCACACACACACACACAGACACACACACACACACAGACACACACACACACACACACACACACACACACACACACACACACACACACACACACACACACACACATTACACACACACACACACACACACACACACAGACACACACACACACACAGACACACACAGACACACACACACAGACACACACACACACCTGTGACTCCGTCTCTTTGTGCAGAGTTGTTTTGGTTCAGTTTTGTGGAGCGACTGTTTTCGGTGAAAAGTGAATCAGTCAGAACCGTGAGACTCACAGGTGCAGTGTGAACAGAGTGTGTGTGAACAGAGTGTGTGTGAACAGAGTGTGTGTGAACAGAGTGTGTGTGAACAGAGTGTGTGTGTGTGAACAGAGTGTGTGTGAACAGAGTGTGTGTGAACAGAGTGTGTGTGAACAGAGTGTGTGTGAACAGAGTGTGTGTGAACAGAGTGTGTGTGAACAGAGTGTGTGTGAACAGAGTGTGTGTAAACACTCAGAAACACACATGGTTAAAGTGCGTGAGTCTGCGGCCCTTTTCGCACAGGAGTAAAACTGATCTTTAGTGCAGTTCGACAAACACAAAGTGCACAAACTGTTCCTCCGTCACAGACACAGACACATTATTTGTTTGTCAGAGTTTATATTTGTGTTTTTAGTCCAGGTTCAAACAGGAGGATGAACGGCCCCGGGGCCCGCGCAGCAGCTGCAGAGCCGCGGGCCCCGGGGCGTGTGCGGGTTGTGTTCTGGTTGTGTTGTGCGGGTTGTGTTGTGGTTGTGTTGTGTTGTGGTTGTGTTGTGGTTGTGTTGTGTTGTTGTTCTCACCGTCGCCGTCCTCGTCCATGGGGAAATCTTCTGCTCCCGCCTCGTGAAGATCCAGCACGTCCGCCATCTTGTCTGTGTGTGAGAGAGCGGGGTGAGCGCATGCGCACTGCTGCTTTGTTGTCCTGCAGTATTATCGCGAGAACACGCGAGACTTGACATGCGCACTAGAGCGTGTTGTGAGGCCGCCCCCTGTTGGTCAGAGTCTGTCATGTTCTGTTTAAAACTCACTTTTATACACTTTATTTTATTTATCATATACATATACACATACTTACACATACACATACACACATACACATACACATACACATACACATACACATATACATACACATACACATACACATACACATACATACACACATCACATACAATACATACACATACATACACATACACATACACATATACATACACATACACATATACATACACATACACATACACATATACATATACATACACATACACATACACATACACATACACATACACATACACATATATACACATACACATACACATACACATATACATACACATACACATACACATACACATACACATACACATATACATACACATACACATACACATATACATACACATATACACATACACATACACATACACATGCACATACACATACACATACACATACACATACATACACATACACATATACATACACATACACATACTTATACACATACACATACACATACACATACACATACACATATACATACACATATACATACACATACACATATACATACACATACACATACACATACATACACATACATACACATACACATACACATACACATACACATATACATACACATACACATATACATACACATATACTTACACATACACATACACATATACATACACATATACTTACACATACACATACACATATACATACACATACACATACATATACACATACTTACACATACACATACACATACTTATACACATACACATACACATGCACATACACATACACATACACATACACATACACATACACATACACATACACATACATATACTTACACACACAGACTCAGACAAACTTTATTGATCCACAGGAAAATGATTTGGACACAGAGTCACAATAAAATATAACAAAGAGAAAACATAAAGTGTAACAGATTCTAAATCCGTGGCTCGTGGTTCTGTTGTTTTCTCCTCTTCTCTGCTGTTCCCCCCGTCACCAGCAGAGGGCGCCAGGCCTCTGTGTGAAATGTGTTTGTGTTTTGTGTTTTATTTTAATACAAGTGACGCTGAAATGGAATCGTGTGGAGTTTTTATTATTTTACATTTGTAAAAGTGATTCTGACGCAGACTGACACTGACACTGTTCAGTGAAGAAAGAATCACAACTGAAAAACTCTTCATCAAGTGTTCAAACATCAGTCCAGTGTTAGTAGTTTTACTCTGTACTAGAGTAAACCTCACTCTCTCCTCGGGGTCACATTGACCCAAAGATTTTTTTTCCTTCCCGTTCTCTTGGGGCGGGTCAATCAGACCCAAACATTTCTTTTCTTGCCTGGTGAGAATTTATTTGAAAATAAATGTTTGGGTCTGATTGACCCAGGAGTTTACAGCAGGTTTCAGGTTCATGAGGGAAACTGAAACATCAGGAGGAAAGTGACCCACACAGAGAAACAACAAACTCCACACAGAAACCTGGAACCTTCTTGCTGTGAGGCGTCCGCTCAGCCACCGTGTCACAGACGTTCTCCTGTGGACTCATATGACACTGTAAAAGTGTTCAAATTAACACTATATGAGTTGGACTGACTTTACTGTGTATAAAACACAAAACATTATTTAATTATTTATTTATTATCACACAAATCAGACATGAAAATGAAACATGTACAAAATTTAATTCACTCTGAAAATCCTAAAAACTAAAATAAAACACGACACGACGTAAATGAAAAGAAACAAACTCACAGAAACATGAAATGAAACATGAGATTTACACAGAGAAGAAGAAGAACCAGACTCAGGAACAAACGGAACAGAGCCTCACGACAAGGAGCGTGTGATCCGGGCGTGTGATCGGGGCGTGTGATCGGGGCGTGTGATCGGGGCGTGTGATCGGGGCGTGTGATCGGGGCCTGTGATCGGGGCGTGTGATCGGGCGGTGTGATGGGCGTGTGATCGGGGCGTGTGATCGGGGTGTGATCGGGGCGTGTGATCGGGGCGTGTGATCGGGCGTGTGATCGGGGCGTGTGATCGGGCGTGTGATCCGGGCGTGTGATCGGGGCGTGTGATCGGGGCGTGTGATCGGGGCGTGTGATCCGGGCGTGTGATCGGGGCGTGTGATCCGGGCGTGTGATCGGGCGTGTGATCGGGCGTGTGATCCGGGCGTGTGTGATCGGGCGTGTGATCGTGGGGGCGTGTGATCGGGGCGTGTGATCCGGGCGTGTGATCGGCGTGTGATCCGGGCGTGTGATCGGGGCGTGTGATCGGGCGTGTGATCGGGCGTGTGATCGGGGCGTGTGATCGGGCGTGTGATCCGGGCGTGTGATCGGGGCGTGTGATCGGGGCGTGTGATCGGGGCGTGTGATCGGGGCGTGTGATCGGGGCGTGTGATCGGGGCGTGTGATCCGGGCGTGTGTTCGGGGCGTGTGATCGGGCGTGTGATCCGGGCGTGTGATCGGGGCGTGTGATCGGGCGTGTGATCGTGTGATGGGGCGTGTGATCGGGGCGTGTGATCGGGGCGTGTGATCCGGGCGTGTGATCGGGCGTGTGATCCGGCGTGTGATCCGGGGCGTGTGATCGGGCGTGTGATCCGGGCGTGTGATCGGGGCGTGTGATCCGTGTGATCGGGGCGTGTGATCCGGCGTGTGATCGGGGCGTGTGATCCGGGCGTGTGATCGGGGCGTGTGATCCGGGCGTGTGATCGGGCGTGTGATCGGCGTGTGATCGGGGCGTGTGATCCGGGTGTGATCGGGGCGTGTGATCCGGGCGTGTGATCCGGGGCGTGTGATCGGGGCGTGTGATCGGGTGATCGGGGCGTGTGATCCAGCTCTCTCTCTCTCTCTCTCTTTGCGTCACATAAAAATCCACTCGAGTTAATTTTCCGAATGTAAAAATGAAAATAATCTATATGTGCGTGACCTCTGACCTCTGACCTCTGGACGGTGACGTGTCTCGAGTCGATCGTCTGAAACGAGACGAACACGTGACCTGAACGAGATTAAAACTCTTCATCGACCGTTTCTTCATCAACCAAATCAACATCTGCAGGGGTCAAAGGTCACGCAGCCTGAGAACCAACCGCAATAATACTCCCTACAACTGTACAACTCACCCTGATGTCAAAGATAATACTCCCTACAACTGTACAACTCACACTTATGTCAAAGATAATACTCCCTACAACTGTACAACTCACCCTGATGTCAAAGATAATACTCCCTACAACTGTACAACTCACACTTATGTCAAAGATAATACTCCCTACAACTGTACAACTCACCCTGATGTCAAAGATAATACTCCCTACAACTGTATTTATGTAATAGATAATACTCCCTACAACTGTACAACTCACCCTGATGTCAAAGATAATACTCCCTACAACTGTATTTATGTCACAGATAATACTCCCTACAACTGTCCTGTAAATCATAATTTGATCTTTGTTCTGTTTCTCTTGTAAATAACTGAGATCCGTTTGTATTTTGTGTTTTTATATTTTATTTTTACTTGTAGATTTACAATTTAAGAACATTTTTCCTCATTTCTCTCATCGACTTTTGTACATTTTTGTATATTTTTGTACATTTTTGTATAGTTTTTTGTCTGTGTGGCCCATAAAAGGTTTGATCTCACTCACTGAAATCAGTTTCTCTTCAAAATATAAAAAACTCCTGGGACAAAACCCTGAAACAGAGATTTCGTTTAAAAAGTTCTGAAGTTCAGTTTCTCTGCGTCGTCTGTGAATCCAGAATCACTGAACAAAGTTTCTGGCTGTTTCCTGTTTCTCGTCGTGGATCAACGGTGATTTTCTACGACGTGAAACTAAACGCGACGCTGTAAAAGAAGAAACATGTTTGTCACGAAACTGCAACGATTCTTCAGGTTCGTCCTTCAGCAGCAGAACTTCAAATAAACTAAAAGAGAAAATCAAACGTTAAAACAGGCACCGAGACTCAAATTTAAATTAAATATTGGAAATCGAGGTCGAAATCTGTTTTTTGTTTGACACTAAAACAGAAAACTGAAATAACAAACAGTTTTCCCATTGTGTTGTTTATCGTCCTTCAGTGAAATTCAGATCATCGAGATGCACACGTCTTCATCTCGTTGAGTTTGTTCTTTTTCTCTCTGTTTCAGATCCTTGTTTTTTCTCTGGTTGTTGATCGTCTCCGTCTCCAACTTTTCTCACGTCTGCTACAAGTTTAGTCTTTCACCTGCTCCATGTGTGTGTGTGTGTGTGTGTGTGTGTGTGTGTGTGTGTGTGTGTGTGTGTGTGTGTGTGTGTGTGTGTGTGTGTGTGTGTGTGTGTGTGTGTGTGTGTGTGTGTGTGTGTGTGTGTGTGTGTGTGTGTGTGTGTGTGTGTGTGTGTGTGTGTGTGTGTGTGTGTGTGTGTGTGTGTGTGTGTGTTTGTGTGTGTGTGTGTGTGTGTGTGTGTGTGTGTGTGTGTGTGTGTGTGTGTGTGTGTGTGT